TCGATAGTTTCCATATATATACCCTACTAATTCACCAAAGTTATTAGGGAAGTCCATCTAGATCATTATGAGTAATAAGGAATTAGTTCAGCCGTAAGATTTTTATGTTTTGACTTGTTATCCCTGCCAATACTCTCAATGCACAATGCAGAAAGTCCATGCTTTATTAACCGGGATAAAAAACATTTCAGGCCTGTCCTGAATAAATCAGCAGCTTCAGATAGACATTGAGGCATATTAGAAAGAAATCATCAGTGACAATGTTCAATATACGCCTTCTTCTGTCTATCACCAACAGTAGATCATTCTGTGATAGTGACCAGTTCGAAAAAGGAGAGGAGTGTTTTTATATCGAGAGCTTATACGAGTATGTATACCGTGGTTCTTACTTTCGTTGTCTAGCTATGACGTAGTACCCCCTCCATGCTCGGTAATACAGCTTGCAAAGACAGGACTTGTTGACACGAAATCAGTCAAAATTAATCAAGGCCAGGAAGTCCGAAAAAGATCGATTCAGGACTTTTACTCACACGTCATGGAAAAGTGGCTGGTCGCAGTATGGGCTATACCATGGATTCCAATGCGTCCGTAAGGGGTTTCTGGAGGGACAATAAGACGCCTGCAACCTCCCTTTTGAACCCTTCCTGCCCTTTCAACCTCGCCCATTCTCTCGTTCCTCGCTGCCGCTGTAGAAATTTGAACAGGTCAGAGGGTAGTGTGTGACTTTTGTGAAGAGTTTCAAAAAGTCCGTAGAGTTCAGATAAACACTGAATTTCCAACCTCGGATCGAATAGTTCCGCTGGCAGGCCATAATGCCCATTGAAATACCATGCAACGTGAGAGAGTAGTACAAGTCTCTCACGGGTCTGTTGGCATGCAATATGTTAGACATGACTGGCAAAAGCTTTATTATGAATGATGCAGGCCGGACCCCCTATATGATGTTGTTTTGCAGCTCTCTGACAAGTATCCAGGTACTTGACTATTTCAACATCCAACGATTTTAAACACCAGGACCCATAGGCCCGCAATAGCCCCTCGGCCGCTGCACGCAGGATTTCATTGGAAAGCGGCATGGGAATGCCCTGGCCCAATATTAGAAAATTTCCGGCCAAAATTGAGGAATCTTACCCTTCGGGTCAACAAAACGGCCATTTGGACGTTTGGGGTGCGCTTGGTATTTCAAACTCTTGACGATGAAAATATAAGCGGCGAGAGGAGTTGCACATCAGGTTGTAGGATATTTCCACCTCCCTGAAAAAGGTCGTCTTATATACATCCCTTGCCCACACCTAAAAGCGGGGCTACCGAGCCAGTGGGGGCTAGACTTCAATCTGTCTTTGGCCACCCTGATCATGCACTGACTGGAAGAGCGCGGCTTCTCCGGGTCCATCTGCAAGGAAGCATAGCATGTAGCTCACTTATTACGCCGAAGCACCATAATCTAGGCCAAATTAGCCTAGTAGTGCCATGCACAGCAAGATTTTGAGACTGGGAATTTTGCTGCAGACCAAAAGGCCCTCTTACCCAGCTAAGGCATCACTGGAAACTAATAGAGTCTAACTAGATTAAGGGCAAGCGTTCGCACCAATTTGACCAGGCTCCGTAGCTTTATCTCACCTTTGAAGTCGAAAACTGGTAGTTTATCTGAGCTGAATCCATGGCTGGATGTCGTGAGAAAATCAGGCCTGACTTCGCAAATTTTATTCAATACATGATACTAATCCTACAGCTGCTGGCGAAAGAGCCATCGCTATTACACTAGACATGAAATTACGTGCAGCCTGAATTGCAGGCGAACTTGGGGTGATTCTTTCGTTTTCTTAATCAGCTTCTAACACAAAAATCAACAATCATGCCCAAACTCAATGTTTACAACAAGATGCTCCATCGCTAGCAGGCACCACCTATGCATGTGCGATACGCGACAAAGTGCTCCTGATACAATTATGAAGCTTGGAATTGACTGATTCAGAGGCGACCATGCTTTCCCTTTGCCCTGGAACCCATTGGCAATCTCTGCTGTCTGAAATGGACAGCCCAATATAGAGACACACGATCTCTATTTTCCTAAAAGCAATCGTTTTTGCGGATCGTAGACCTTCGTCGTAATTGCAACCAGTATTCAATAGAACACCAAATCGGTGGCTTCTTTCTCGCCATATTCTCATTTTGAGATGACGTTGCCTATCAAAGAATCCCTTCCCGATTGCATGAACTGTCTCAATGGTGGGCCAACGGTCGTTTCTATCCTGTAGATGCAAATGATACAGAAGTAGATGAAACAGGGCAACACTGTCAGCTGCCTGAAGTTTCGCAGTAACATCGAGGGCAATAAGTTGAGCCTCCACGCTGCTATGTCGACTCAGCCAGTCAGCAGAAACCACTTGACCTGTCTCAATTGCATGTACCAGAGCTAGTTTTCCAGTCGCTGGTTGGATGTCAGGAGATACTCTTGAGTTGTCAAAAAGCCACTGAAACAGACTCAAGGGATCCTTCTGGCTGACTGCGGCGTGCCAGATTGAGTGGCCACCAGGGCCGGATGCTTCATCAATATTGATTCCTTTTTCAAGAAGATCATGGGCGAGGAGGGGTGTTATCCATCGCGATATTGTGTAACGATCAGCTGCCTTCAGTTCGGCTGCAACCAATGCAGGTCGCACTGAGCGAAGTTTTTCCCAAACTAGCTGGAAATAATCAGGAAAAGCTGTCACAAACTGGAGATAAGATGGTCCTCTTTCGTCCCCATTGAACCAAACAGGGTCAAGAAGATGCTCAGGAGTAATCTTCCGTAGAATACGCCGGGCAATGTCCCAGACACCTTCTTTGCACGCAAGGAAAAAAAGACATTCCCCAGCACAGTTGTAGGATGATGGTGAAATAAGCCCAAATTCCAGGAGGAAGAGAGAACAAGAGGAGCATTCGCGGATCGCCTTTGATACAAGGTCTTTGTTTAGATAGCGGCGTATTTCCGTCCAATCTCGGCCGTAGTTGGGTTGGTTTTGTACGGCACAGTCAAAATTGGTCGAAAGTCGCCATTGCTGTTCTATCTCCTTTCGCAGTGAAGATGATTGTAAGTAGTTGTCAATTTCCGAGGCTGCCGACTTTCCATAGCTTGCGATGGAATGGAAATGCAAGTGAGATTTTAACCAACATGGTGCGAAAAGCCAGTCCCTGATGTCCTGCTGAAAAGAGATAAAATCTTCCTGTGAGGGCATTTCGGATGACCAGATGGGGCCCAAAGTTTGTGGAGGACAAACGGACCTTCAGAAGTACACAAGCAATAGATGCATATAGATCCGGTAGGGATGTGACTCGGAATTTTTTCCCTAGGTCAGGTTGTCATCATTAGTACTCTAAAATGATTCGATCATCGCCTTTCGCGCTTTTGTCCCGTCCAACGCCTACTCTCGGGCTAACGTCAAAGAGTCCGAAAATGGATTGGCTCGTGCAACCCACGATGGACTAGGCTCCTCAGCCACCGGATCGTGTCATCGAGTTCGATGTGCACGGGGCGATTATTTCTAAATTGAGATTCGCTACTAGATCGGCGACCCCCTTGTTTCGATACACGATCTTTCCAAACACCATGTCACAAATGTTGGTGGGGCAGTCAATTACCGCCAATGAACGCGTGCTATTGATGTCAAGAAGGCTTCTCCACTGTTTGTTACCGTAGCCTTAAGATAGCTCATACCTTTAGGATCCAGACTCTGCCATTTTTTATTTTTTTGCTTTGTTTTGCTTTGACGCGGCGGCTACTCTGTCAACTCATTCGCGGTAGTTCCACCACTTCGCAAGCTTTTTCTTACCCCTAAGATCTGCCACACTGCCGTGCTATTGTAAGTATTCCCTCTATTATTGACTTCTCGCTGATTTATAATCGCTTCGTGCGGGTCTTTCTGCCATTCCTTTTTCCTGGTGACATCCCATCACGCATTCTTTTAGTTTGAGCTACCCCTCAACGAGCAGCCTTTAGAGCTCATTGACAATGGAAATCATTCCGTTCTCAATCATACCGGTCGGATATTCAATTAAGAGTCAGTAGCTCTTATCACGGACTAGCCCCATTCATCCAACGGGAGACACATACGTAATTTGAGTGACCCTCGATTTGTCACTCTCACCATCTAATTGAAAGGTGGATCTTCATAGGCCAGATCGTCTTAATGTGAACATCACCTGGTTTTACGTATACGGCAGGATTGTTGGTTTTAGATTAAGATTAGCGGCTGGACCGGCGATCCTCGTTTTGTTACAAGATCTTTCCAAACACCATGTCACAAAAGCTGGTGTGCAGCCACCCGCCGCCAATGAACACGCCGGTCAAAGTAGAAGCTTATCAGCTATTGGTTACCGCAAAGCCGCAGGTTAACTTACAGTACATCGGTACGGCAATTCCAGTCGTGCGAGCTTTCTTTTCGCTTTGAGTCCGAGTCCAAATGCCATCTACTCGCCATGAACGCTAAGCTAAGTTCCAAGGAACTAGCGCGGTCATCGTCAACCGCCGAACTTGCCCTCGTAGAGCAATCCTCGGTAGGGTCAAATGAAATCGAGTGAGGGCGTTGATGTGGCGTTGGTGCTTGGATACGTAGATGGGATGGCTCCGGTATAGGTACTGCAGGTACAGTGCTACTCATAGGTGTATAGACACTGTAAGAACCTTGGTAGGTCTTGGCTCCAGTGCCATAGCCGGCTCAACACCGACCTCTGCCTTCAATCCGCTGCCGTCACGGTTCTGCTTCCGTTATGAGCGCATATCAGCACTTCCTCTGTTTCTTCCCCGATATAGGACGGAGCCGTACGGCTTAGAATCGGCGATTTGACTCTTTGTGCACTGATTTACATTTGCACTACAACAGCGATTACCACCATCTTTATTTGCCAAGACTTTGATATAAAATTATTCAAAGATGCTTTCGCACTGCTTACTAATGACATTTTTTGTCTCCAAATTAGGCTGACTACGCGTAATTTCCTAAATACTCAATGGAACTGTACCCTTCTTTTCATCCAGCGGTATTTTGTAGAAATTTGATCACCTGGCCCTTGTTCATTGACAACTGCAGAGAAATCGCAGGAGGTCATTCGTAAGGAGACGAACTACTTAACGCCCAAAGCAGCCGAATAGAGAACCCCCAAGAAATACCTGACGGACCATATCTCTCAGGTAGCTCATCACGCCAGTATCCTCCAAGGCGTTACTAGTGCTGGGGAAATGATGCCCCTTCGTTTCATCCGATGATGCAAAACCATTTACCGGATAGGATTCAGTCATATATTTGAGGTTTGCAACGAGATTATAATCCCTTGAAGGTTCAAGAAGGTAGGAATGCTGCTGCTTGGCATGGGCCCGGGACTGGCTGGCTTCCATTCCTAATATAACAGCAGTAAAAGAAAAGATATTGCGATGACGGTACAGCTCCTGAAAATGGGTTGTCAATAACAGGCAGGGCCAGGTGAAATTTTCCCAAACTTACCTGGGCAAATTGGTTCATCTCCGCCTCACTGACGACACAAGTGTCCATATATTCCTTAACCGAGTGACAGAGTCGGTTCCAGCGGTCGTTAATTTCGCACAAACTTTGGGGATCTAGTATTTCAGATTGAGTATCGAGCTGCTTATAGAAAGCATGATCCTCTCCTGACAAAACTTGCGCCTGTGCAGACACTCCGATGTGTTTCAAACGACCCAGGATCTCGGTGCGATCATCGAATGGCATATCCCAGTCTACTTTCGCCGTATAGAAGTGGCCGATAAACCGAGCCTTCGAGACTTCCAATTCTCGGAGTATAATTCGGGCCGGGTCTGGCTTTTGAAGGGTTCGCTGCAATGGCCTGATGACTAGGCTCAGGGCTGTCTCCAGCTTAGAGCACACATCATCGGTTTGCTCCGTACTATCACTTTCCAAAGCGGTTACCGTTGCTGCGTACAAGAAGGGATCGGCCTTTCTTCCCTCTAGGCACTGATCAATGTTAGAAAATTCCTCCTCTAAATGTTGGAGGTACAGTGGTTAGCTAACTTACTTCCTTCAGCTGGAATAAAAATTTCCTGTGTTCATCGTCTCTGGCGAAGTTCCAGTACAGCATCACACAGAGAATTTCATATTGGAAGAGGAAGTGCGCAACTGCCGCAGAGTAGACCCCCCAAGCCTTTCGTACAAACTCTTCGAAGTCAATCAGTTTGAACTTGTTACAACTCTTTTCAGAAAGCGTAGAAGCGGCTGACGCGGGGCCATCTCTGACAAGTTGAGGAAGATTCAAATCCCAATTCATTGAGACGCTGAGACTATCTTCAGTCTGAGGATAGAACTTTCCTATTCCCCTTAACTCGGCGAAATCATCGTTGTAGAGTCCAAATCTGCACAGCAAGCCAATAGAGATCTCATCTCCTTCAAGTATTAAACCGTCAATCTCACACTTCCGCCAACATTTTGATCTAAGTTCTTTGTCCTCTGATCCTCGATCAACATTGCGCTCGGCCGAGGAGTTTAGTGAATAGGCAATCTTTGTAGATCCGGAGCTCGAAAATGAGGATATTGAATGTGAATTCAGAAGGGCTAGAAGATTTCATCTTGTGGTTAGATCGCATGGCCAAATTGTCTTCGTGAAGGCATACCTTTTCGGTTGTCATAAATTTGGTTTGCGTTGCACATTTTGACGGGCAGTCAAGTCCGGGGTACTGGCAGTCTAAAGGTAGGGGATGGAACATCATATATTGTGTACATTTGACAAAAATACATGCCAAGACGTAGTTTCTGATCCTGGGAGAAAGGAAAGCTATCATTGGTCAGAGGCATGAGGACCGAGCCATTCAGGGCTGTAAATACGGTTCTAATTCCCAGGAGCCAGTAATACCATTCAGAATGGACAGCCGTGATCGCCGGTACTTTTTCGGTACTAATTACATTACTTGGGGTTTCTACCTAGTAAGAATTCTCGGTAGGGCAGCTCAGCCTGGCTAGCGGGAACATCAAAACCAACAGAGTGAAGGCGTTTGGCTTCCGAGGACGCGGCGTCAGTGCTCGGTAAGGGTGTTCTATGCTCCACCATATGTACTGCAGGTACTATGCTTCTCATAAGAGGCATGTATGTGGGGGTGGCCACGAAGATGGCTGCTTGAGACTAGCTTGCGCCATTTTCCACACACTAGAGTAGCTATCTTGCCCAATGCACTTGTGAAAATCTACTAACGGGGTTATTTCCGGTAGCCTACTTTCCGGCCCAGGCGGCCTAGTGTCGTCCCACTTTACGCTACTTAACGGACTCTCATAAATTGGGTATAATATCTTTAAATAGATCGTTCACATCCCTAGGCAGTGACAAGTACAAGGCTGGTATAACTGAGTTCCCGAGCTGATACTGTCTTCAGTACTCCGTTTCCCAATTTTACTGTTCCCTTGAAGGCCCATTTCCACTACCAACGACCTGCTGTGTCGCACAAAGCTCAAACATGGGCAGAGCACTACTTCCATCTTCGGCTATTCCATTTGCGCCGCGATCTCCCCCAAGCGTGGTGAACGCCATGTTTCCTAAGTGGATAACGGTCAAGCTAAAGGAAGTCAACCAGCGCGGACGCCCTACAAACAATTATCTACAATGTATTGGGTGTCTAAAAGAAGTCTTGTCTCAGGAAAAAGCGAATTGGACCTTGTGCTCGATTATGTTACCGGGGAATGTGATAGGCCATTTGAACTATCAGATGATCCACATCGAAGCCTATGTTGTACATGTTGACATGGGTTCACGAAACGAGGTCGCTTTCAAGCTATGTCAGCACACCATCAAAGCTCTGGTAGGCTTTCACCAGGAAATCTTTCTGGTTGATGCTGCGGACAATGCCAAGGACTTATTGGCGAAAGAAGCAAAGCTCCAAAAGCTGCAAGAAGAATTTGTCGCAGCAGAAAACAAGTTCGTCTTCTGGACAGAATGTGAGGTATTACAGGGCTTGGAGAAGGACGGCTCTGGAGAGCTACTTGTCGACATGAGTGAGATGGCCAGAAGAAAAATCGTCAACTTTTTCAAGCCTCTCATACTTCCATCCTCCATTGTAGATACTGGTTGTCACTGGATGTGCTCGGCAATTTATGACCCTATGCTGGTCTATTTGGATGGAGAGCTATCGGCCGGAAGCGTTGTTCATTTTCCTTTGACTTCTTGTTGGAATGCTTGACTATTCTTTTCATGGTAGTGTATTATGGGAACACAGGTCTTGCTTCGTGCCCACCTTTGGAAGAATAAGGATGAAAATAAGCCTGTACATATTCGGCCGTACGAGAAGAATAAATCTAGTTTGGAATACCATTGTAGTCAAAGACGTTGTAGCAATTCCCAAAATGAGTGAAATGAATCACAGCATCCCTTAAAATATCCGCTATTGTAAATGTATTCATTTCTTTAAAAGCATCCCATTTTCCCATGTTTTAACGTTACAGCATGGTGGAAGACCAAAATCGCTACCAACTTTCTCCTTTTCTCTTCACTTATCTCCACGGATTTCATTTTTTGATAAATTCCCTTTATCGGGAGCCCCAGATCACGGTTGAGTCCTTGAGAAGTTAGTCCAGGAATCCTAATAAATGGATAGGAAGAGGAGGTGCATACTATACTCCTGAAATTGCTTACAGACCTCAAAAGCTTCGTCCGAATCAAGCTCTTCAAAGACCTCTCTGAAGTCTCGTTCTATTTCGCTCTTGTAGAGCAGCCTCTTCTCTTCAGGTTCCATATCCAGCAAAGGTCCATGATCGATTGAATCTAGGAGTCGCAAAGCGTCAACAACCTGTTCATCGATCTCCGACGGTGGACTGTTCTCAAATGTTTCAAAAATTGGGAACATCCTCGGAACAGGTACGTTGCAAGATTTTGTTGATCAGGATCTAGCGGGAGATCAAACGCGTTGCTATGGCTAATTAGATTGATATTCAACCTTGGGTGGTTATCTTACCAGTCGGTACGTGGTACGGGGCCGAATGACAATAGTTGGAGTGTTCAGCGCCGCTGGCCTGAAGCAAGGAATTAGTCACGGGGAAGTAATCAAGTGCCCAGAGCGGCAACAGCTGGGAGTGTAGAAAGAAGAGATGGTAATCTTTGGATTTGGAGTTTGACAAAAGGCAGCGATCACGTGCTATGATCTGGACTTGAATGGATTACGCAGACTCTAGTCCCCTTTCCATGATTTAGCCAGTTTTTGATTCAGGGGAATTTAACGATATGCAATGGCCGGGGCTAGTCCCGAGGAACTTCGTGCTCCTGGTGAACGTGAAAAGAATGCTCGCATGGTCGTCGGAATTGCCATACCGATGTACTGTAAATTAACCTGCTGCTTTGCGGTAACGAATAGCAGATAAGCTTCTACTTTGACCTCGCGTTCATTGGCTGCAGTTGGCTGCCCCACCAGCTTTTGTGACATGGTGTTTCGAAAGATCGTGTAACAAACAAAACAAGAGGCGTCGAGCTAGCCGCTAATCTCAGGTTGGCAATAATCGCCCCGTGCGCATCGAACTCGATGATACTGGAAATATTGCCTACGAGATATAACCGTAATTACAAAAAACCACAAATGGGTCGGTTCACGCCGCTAATAAACTTTGTGACTCCCCTCATCAGGAACTACGACTATTCCATTTCTCGGCGTCTCAATTGATTGGTGGTGTGCATTAATATTCGATGGACCAAACCTTCTCTTCAAATCCTAGCATTTCATGTCGATTGCCCTTCAAGATGTGCAACGCGGAGCCGATTAGGGACAGCTGAAAAGGTACGCCTTTATCGGTACAGTTTTGACTAATTATAGGACGCACTCGTTCGACCTAGGCATTTCCCACCCACATTGAATATCATTATTCTCGAATTCAGGATTCACAAGCATTGGTTATTGGACGGATTTTCAGGGTGAGGATCGAGACTATCCGGCCATAAAGCATGTGGGTCGTCGGAATTGACTGGTACTTTTGTTACACGGCCAGCATTAGAAGTAAGTCATAAGGAGGCGGTCTCGGTGGCCATGACCATGGCTCAGCGGAAAGCACGGCCTACAGGATTCGTCGGTTTCAGCGGACAAAATGTACACAAAGCAGTCTACTGGTGGCCTGCGAAAGGGTATAGATCCACGAGTATATTCCCGGGTCACTATCACTAGTACAGTGCTATCGGGCAGGGACAGGGCAGTCCGGGAGAAGACTGTCTGTCACGTACTGCCTTCTGTTCAGAGTACCAATTTCATTTTGAGATGACCCTTTCCATTGAGGGTTGGGGCGGTTGCATCAAGAATCAACGAGCATCCAATTATGCTGGTGTATAGTGTTACGGCATGGCAAAAACGTATTACTGGGTTACTTTGTCTGTACAAATTCTTCTCTCAAGGCCTCTTTATTGAATAATCAAATTTTAAAAGAAAGGGCTCTGGTATCTTTGTGAGGAGATCAACTCCGCTCACAGCGCCAAAACCGTTCATACAGAGAGCCAGCCATGGCCATTGAACCCACCAACATCTGTGGAGATTAGTGTATTTGCCTCACTGCACTGCTCACCAGGGATATTGGAATATGGGCGATTTGAGCACTGTTCCCCGCCAAATAATAGACTTACAGCATGTCAGTACCGCCTCCCTATGTCTCACAACAACTTCTGGTGGGATATATCTCCTTCATTGCTCAGCAAGTCCACGCAACAACCGCCACTCCTCACGAGACTCCATCTCACGCGGGGCGCCCCAGACTAAAAAAAAGATTTCTAGAACATCGACGCAATTAAGACGAATCACCGACGAAGACCGACGAAATTCCTTCTTTACCAAGAACAAACCATGGACATCATAGCTGACACCCAAGTTCTACACCAGCAAGATGCATTTTCAAGGGACAACCGCCATCAGTAAAATTTAAGCAAATCGTGAGCAGGAATGTAACCCAATTCATAACAACGTTTACTACGCATTCTTGAACCAAAGTTATGCATTCACTCATCAGAACGGAAAATAGACTTGTCACAGGAAACTGATAATCAATCTAAAGAATCGGGAACGACCACTGAAACATCATGAGCTCTGGACCATTTGAACATAACTACGAGTCAAGAGCGAGTAGATAAATTCAACTTTCGTTGCAGAAGAATGCAAGAAAGCTTTCTCGGTCCATATCACCATTCACAAATTTGCTCTCTTTTCGTACGGAACCACCCACGAGTTTATGAGAGCTGGACGACTGCGATTGCTTTGCTTTGGTTATATCACCATTCAGAACCTGTGAGCCACCGTCAATCTGCGTGTGAGCAGAGCCGGAGATAATCACAATTTCATCGGCCCGTGCTGCACCATGTCTCTGTCTGTCGTTTGTACGGGCAAAGTGTGACTGATATTTTCATTTTCAAAAAATTAGCCTCAAGAGACAATAAAAAGATAGCATGTTGATGTCCTGTTGCTGGCAACAACGCCATACCGCTTGTTCTGGCTGCGATACTTTTGCCCCACCTAATACCTCATGGGAAGGGGTAGACGGGGTTTTATTATCCTGCAGATATCTTCTGGTCATGCTGAAGGGTAGACCGAATAGGATGGAATTTGACTTAGTTTCAATCTCAAGATAGAAAACAACCAACAGGTGCGAAGAATGGTAGAAATGGCGAGCGAGTGAGCGGGGGAAGAACTCCTTAAATGGCCCAGTCAATCTGGTATGATACTTTGTAGAACGATTTTTACGTAACTCCTTGTAATAAAAGCCTTGGTCTAGAGTAAACAGCAGGCTAATCAGCTGCACCCTGGATAGAAATCAACCACAGCGGGTTGATTGGGCCTAGTGTCCAAGAATGGATCATCTTTGGTCATCACCCGAAATATTACACTTCTGTACAGTTTAGAAGCTGCCTAGAGACGCGTCGAAAAGCAGTTATTGAAGGTTCGAAAGCAAAAGGTTACCAAAAAGTGGATGAGAGTAGATGGATTGGAAATGCTAGACTTAAGTGCGGAAAGGAAAAAATAACGTCATAGCGCCTCAACTAGTGGTATAGGTTGGATTCGGGTGTGCATCCAATCGTATTTGGCCCCATGAATGATTTCGTCACTCAAACTACTCAAAGACTGGACCATGATTGCTCCTGACTTTCCTCAACTGTTTCCTAATTGGACTTGGTGAGAGAAAATGAATCATCTTCGAGAGGTTCTTGTTGGTTTTTTTCTCCCTATTGAAATACCAGAATTTGGCTTTGACAAAGACAACTCAAACTGACTAGTCACACCCGAAGTGATACCATGGTGAAAAGGGAGGTTGGAGGAAGTACAGCCATCCCGCATGACGAACGTAACTTCCCTCGCATGAGAATTACCTTTTTCTTTGGGAATATATTGGCCTGTATTTTTTTTACATAGCTAGGAGTTGGAGTAACAAGGAAATGAGTTGACCGGCCGGACGGTTCCGTACAAATCCGATGCACGGAGCATATGCATTCACGAAGCAGGCGATGGCTAGTACAAGTCTACCCTCAACGGGAATAGATTCCAGTGTACTTACCTGGATCGATCTTACTAGTGTTGAACTACTAGGCAGTGGAGAACCAGGGAGGACGAGGGGGGGGATAACCACTGCGACATATCGCGCACACCCTTCCGTCCAGTGTACCATTCTCCTTCTTAAACGCAACCGAGGGAGACGAACAGTGCGAAGTACGAGTCAACGACCTGCCTCTGGCCAAGCCATGTATTGCAACCAAGTAATAAATTATGACTCAAAGTTTGTCTTATGTGGAATCTTCCTTCTCAAGGGCCGCAACAGGTATGATTATCCCTGCAAAATGAAAGTCCCGTCCAAAAATTATGCGGGTCTTCTGGTTAATGGAGCACGGACGAACCCCCGGCAATCTGGTATTTCACGCTAATAGGACTTTTGGTCCACTAATATGCCCTGGCACTTCGGCTGCCACTATTATCCGAGACTCTGCTTCCTCCTGGTAGGAGACCAGCTCCGCTAACATCATCAAATGACTCCCCTCCTTCGGAATCCTTGTAAGTATTCACATGCATTATTCCTTTTACATCATTTCCATCTTCCAGCAGGTGTGCCTGCGTCGTGTGCAGAAAGAAACAATTTCCATCGGTCCTAATCATGCAGCAATCCCTTTATGACTCTTTACCCCCAGACTATGAAATCGCATATTACGACTCACCCAGTGGGAGCGCATTCCAGTCACCAGTGCATCCGCCATCCATGCCGTATCGTTCTCCATCTATCTACCATCCGTCTCTGATGGACGTAGATGGGATGTACTGCAGCATGTCCGCACCGCCCTATATCGCCTCGCAGCCATCAACGTTCGATACGAGATTGTCATCAGGGCCGGTACCAACCTTCATTTTACCAACCTCGACGACCATTCCCGGTCAAAGGTCATTCACTGAAATGTCAACGCAACACAAGGGTTTCGGCAACCAAGCCGAACGAGCGATGAGATCTTCCTACCAAGAGACCAGAGCAGGCAATCAGGGCAAACGCAGAGGTAGGACTACAACCGGTTGCCCTTCAATGCACTCATTTGCTTGTCTCAATTGAACTTTGCTTTCGGCTTCTGTCTCCTCTTGTTGGACTTTGAATCACTATACATGTCCGATGATGAAGTGCAGCCGAGCCTGCGGGCTATTTCTTCCGCTTATCGCCTGCCGTGCTCTCCATAGTGTATCATTTTGCAACCCGCGACCAAAAGTGAACAATTCGGTTTTCAAAAGTGTTTTCTCCTTGAGATTAAGCCCATTTCTTCCCGCCATTAGGAATATCGTTTGCTAGATAAGCTCTCCGCTGACAATCAATAGTACGACAACGCATGACCAGAGACGAGAAAAAAGAAATTTGCGTACACAGGGAAAACAACCCAGAGATTAGGCAGCAGGATATTGCAGGTAATGTCCTTATGCAATGCAAGCCAACTTATTCTGACTAGTGAACCTGCATAGACACATTCGGCTGGCACAGAAGGTAAAGTAAAGCAATTTCCATATCGGGTATAACATGAAAGCTAAATTATAAGATAAGCACAATTTCCAAAGTCCTGAAGAATAAGTCTCAACACCTCTCATCTGCCAGTTCTGGCCCGTCCCATGTCAAGCGCCTCGAATACGGAAACCTAGGACACGCTGTGACAACAGGATTTCAGGATCAGAATAACATTCTATCTCTCGTGAATCCGAGGTCAAGAGTGGAAGGGACCACCCTCATGTATAGGTCAGGGCCGCCTTCACAGGTGTATGAAGTACGCCCAGGCGAAGAATCAGTCGCCGTGCGCGCAACCGAAGCGGAAACAGATGTGGAGAAACCTACAACAGAAGATGCACGGAAGGCTTTGGAGGTAGCCATGAAATATTTCGAATTAAATTCTATCCATCTCTTTGCTGATGAATTGGAAACACTCGACGAATTCATGGAGCGTGTTAAGAGTGACATGACATAGTCTGTTTGTACAATTGCGTGCGGGAGTCAATCCAGTTCAATTCTTGAGACAACTTTGAGAAATAATATTGATCCTCTCTAATACCAGCTTCGTTTGGGTTCCAAGAGCGACTCGCTGTTAGTAGCAGTGAGACTTCAGTTTGAGTTCATGCAAGGGTGTCTGTGGTCCTTTTCTCAGTAAAGCATTCTCAGGTTACATAACTCTCCAGATAATAACCTCCGAGAAGATGTGAGGCAAACTTCCCTCGTCGCCAGGCTTTTGAGAGGAACAGAAGCGCTCTGACTGTCTGCACGATTAGTAATTTACCAGATTAGAAGACACATAGTGTAGGCAACGGTTTATAGCCTTCCAAGCAGTGGGCAGGCATTCAACCCGACAAATCACTTCTGTGCCCGTTTCCCAAATATATCCGCGATACTGGATGGTCATTTACGCAAAAAGGGAATCTTCGAGAGCTTGTCCGATGTCTTCTCGGGCGTACAGCGCACATGTCGCTGTTGGGCCGAGCCACTTATTCAGATCCGATTACGACTAAATTGACGGAGTATTCTCATCGAAGGATTGTTATGCGTACACAATTCTCGAAATAATAACATGCAAGCAGAGGCAGGTATCTTTTGTGGTCAAAATTCGGAGTAAAACAAACACCTGCATGACCTTGAGTGCTAGAGAACAGAACTGGAACCACGGCAGCTGAAACTAAAAGTCATCCCCACATCTCCTGGTTGATATAATGAAAGTTCAGGTGGCATCCAAGCTAGCAATCTTAACGCATCCTTGCGATCATGTGTGGTCGTGGCCGCAGTGTTGTCTTGTCCCTTCATTCTATTTAGGCGGCTGCGAGTGGATTGGTTGGACTCGTTCGCGAAAAGGAACTGTATAAACGGTCACATTGTCAGCGTAAGGTATTCAAAAATTAGCTCTGCCAGAAAAACAACGTAGAGGAATAAACTGCCTTTCATCTTAATAAAGAGCTAGGTTGAGCTTTCATCTGCTGGCACCCAAGAATGTCAACTGAAATTGTGTTTGACATGGGTTGCAATCATGAAACGTGTGAGACGGAAGAAGAGTCATTCATGAAAACGGAAGTTATTTGATTTCGTCCCTTCATTGTAAAACGTCGGTGCAACTTGATCAGTGGAAAGAACTGAAGGTGGGAAAAGTGAAAACGGAGAGGGATGGAAGGAGACGTAGAGTATCACTTCCCGGCCGAAGTTTTCTTCACACGGTTTCTAAGTGGGACTGACTACTTGTCTTTTCTCCTTGCCCGAGGGTAGGTCCATCGACGGGAGGACTGAGCCGGAAGCACTGAGCTTAGGCTAAATGTCAACCCCTCATGTCCTTCTTGATATGATAATTTTCAGATGGTATCCAAGCTAGCAATCTTGATTCGTCCTTGGGATCATGTGTGGTCGTGGCCCCAGTGTAGTTTTGTCCCTTTTTTTCTCTCCGTAAGTAGTTGGGAATGGCTTGGTTGGACTCGAGCGCGAAAAAAGAACTGAATACTGCGTGAAATTATCAGCTTAAGCTAATCAAAAACTAGGTCTGCCGGATATAGTAAACAAATTAGAGGAATAAACTCCCTTTCGTCTCAATGATCTAGGCTGACCTCTCAACTGTTGACACCAGGAAGGTTACAAGCTGAAGCTGGGCCTGACATGCGTTGAATCATGAAGCATGTGAGACGGAAGAAGAGTCATTCATCAAAACGGAAGTCATTTGATTCCGCCTCTTCATGGAAAGAAGTCGGTGCAACTTGATCGGTGGAATGAACCGAGAGTGGGAAAAGTGAAATTGGAGCGGGAAAGGAGGAGAGGCAAAGTATCACTTCCCGGCCGAACTTTTCCTCGCACAATTTCCAATTTCCAATTGCGACTTCTTGTCTTTTTCCTTGCCCGACGGTAGGTGATCAGCATTAATTATTTCGAACAGAGAAGACCTCCTCCTTACCGTTTCAACCCGTCAAATTACGTTTCCCCTTATATCTAACGTCTCCTACAGCGGCGATAGTCTCAGCTCCAGACTGCAAGTCTAACCCCTTCCTATCTGAGTCCGCGGTCTGACGAGAAGTGGTCTAGCTATCCAGGGAAAGGGGGAATGATGAATTGGTATTTCACCTAGCACAATCAGTATCGAATCCCAGGTTATTCTTCAGTATCAGCATGTTTCTGATGTCTCGCCTATTTTGGGACGATATAGCGTAGGTGATCAATTTTCTAGAAAATACCATTGGATGGAAAGATTGATACAGTTCAATTGAGGATTTAAGATATACCGCCCATTACAGTCAATATCATGAGGAGGAAAGGTATTCATAAGCTGTCGAAAAGCATACTGGGATCCTTTCATATCGACCCTTCACTTGGCAAAAGGTGTGACCAGAGAGTCAAGCGGCCGCCACGGGCCGGGACCATGCAATTTCAAGTTTATTCTGAGTAATTCTGCATCATTGACAAGTCCATATCATTTAAACTCCTTTGATACCAATCAAGCACAAGTTTTGGGGTTTTCCAGCACTGTTTTGCTTTTGCGTGCCGCGACAGATACATGCGGTACACCATCACGTACTTCCGCTGGATTGGAGTTGCAGGATCAGTTGAATATTCGTTCGACTCAATGAAGGTCAGCTTGTCCAGCAGCAGCGGGACAGAGTGAAAGTGGTTGTGCACGCGTGCGATTTCCCGTTTAACCACGGCCAGATCCACCACGATGTGGCTATCGGCAGGTATATGGTCTGCCAAATAAACCCCGTCAAGCGGCACAGTTTCCAATACTACATCGTCGAGACCTGCCGCTTTAACTTTTGCCTTGATATCAGGGCAAGAACCAGCTAGCCAGGTCCTCACGGTCTAATAACTCAGTATAAGCAATAACCATATCGTCACATTGACACGTACCTCTAGCGGTTCTGGCTTCATACTAACGTTGGACTCGTCGTGTTTTGAGATCGAAGTCTCCTAACCGCGGGACACTGGATCATGATGGGGAAGGTGAGAAATGGAACACCCTGCGGACGTATCTATATATTCCAAGGCTACCGGCAAGGACAGCCTATGTTATCTAATGACAACTCATCACCCTCATGCAGCCAAGATCAGTTGAGCATGGTGGGGTCTTAGATCGGCAACTGCGGACTGAAATGAACTTTATGCGTTGAATCCCAGTTGTAGTTGACAATATTCGAATTCCTACTTAGATAGCTTTGTCCAGTCGACAAAACTCACCGAGACTAAAATTATAAGCCTGACTCCTGTGCACGGGGTATTGTTAATAGTTCGAAGATGGATTGGCTCGTGCAAGCCCCGCAGGTCTAGGCCTGCTCGTATCCTCAAGTTCGATTTGCACGGGGCGATTATTTCTGATTTGAGATTAGCGGCTATATCAACGCCCCTTGTTTTGTTACACGATCTTTCCAAACACCATGTCACAAATATTGGTGGGGCAGTCAGTAACCACCAATGAACACGTGCTACTGATGCTTTTCCATTGCTTGTTACCGTAGCCTTGTGTTAGCTCATACCTTTACGATCCAGGCTCTGAGGTTTTTCTTTTGCTTTGACCCTGCGGCTAACCGTCAACCTATCCGCGATCGTTCCTCAACTTGGCATCATTTTTTCAACCCTTGTCATTCTCTAACTATTCGGAGAATTCTTCCTACCTATTTGCATCTCGCGGATTTACCATCACTTCGTTCCAGTCTCTCCTCCATTCCTTATTCACGGCGACACCTCCCCGAAGTCCGCCATATCTAGCGCCATATTTAAGACACAATGCATACTGTAAAGGTAGCGTTCCCCTATCGATAAGATCCTCCTTTTCTGTATCCCCACATCTCTCCAACAGATGAAAGGGCACTCACCTTGACTTGCCAGCCATGTCAGCTGTTCCAACACTCCCCACGATGTTCTTTACATGATTGCGACTCTTTTGGATGATCGTGACTACGTCCATTTAAGCCACACCAACCGCACTATTTATGATCGATTAAATAATGACCTAATTGGGCGAAAAATTGTCGAGGTAAGAGCCGAAGCCAATGGGAACACCCCAGTCTGAGTAGAGAAGGCAATCTCATAGCTGTGGTTGAGTAAAGTATACTGAAAGCCCGTTATTTTAGAAGGTCCTCGCTCACAGTAGAGAGGGGCGCACTGTCTTGATTGACCGATCTGGTTACCGTAAGGCTATCATGCATCGGTTCAACATCAACGAAGCCGTAGCTACGGCTACTCCATACGCAGTGGCGGTGCTAGCATTTGCGACTGATTTCCTCTTTCAACAAGGAATTCTATGCTATCGGGTTGAGCATGAAATTCGCTTGCTCGACGTGCATCATGGCGACCGGCGAGAACGCCTCTTGGATTTGTACGAGATTATTCCTTGGTTAGACAGTGGCCTAGTAGCGACAAGCGTTGATCCTGTCAACCAGGTTACACTTCTCTATTTCCAAGAGGAGATCCTCGTGTTTCGTCTAGAGGGTTCTGGAGGCCAGAGTAGTTGGTTGATTGCTATTGATACAGCCGTCCGACAGACTAGACGCACACGACTACTCCTGCAACGGCCCATTCCCTCATCAACCCCGATCTTTGTACGGCACACTCGTTCGTATCTATGGTATGACACATTCACGGCTACGCATGGCTTGCAAGGGCGCTGGCTATGCTATGGGGTGGATATGACTACCAATGAGTTTATTGCAGTCGATTTCGATTGTGCTGTGGGCTGGGAGATTGGCCGGACCCTTTGTTTTGAAATGTACCAGGACCACCTGTATGCCGTCTCAACGCGGGCGACTTCTGATGACGATGAGCATTCTTCTTTCTATCATTGGTCCTGTTATTCACCCCGACAGAAGGACCAGAAGTGGAGTGGTCGCATATGGCGTCGTGAGCACCGTAAAGGTCCCATAAACGAGATGTGGATGCGGCTTTCTATTCAATTTGATGAATCTACGGGGCGTCCGACGATCACTGAATGTCGTCGTGAATGGCCAGGCGGGAACAGCGAGAACCATCCAACAAATTATCTCCAGAGCCTTTATACACCCGCCGAATTACGGCCGAAGTACCCAGAAGGAGACATCAAGCGCCCCTCATGGAGTGACAGCTTCAGCGAAGCTACCAGGGGTCCAGAGATGTTTCAACTAGATAGCAACAGGCCTAAGAAGCGACTGCCACGCAACTGTCATCCAGAGTATGAAAACGATGACCCAAATCAGCGACAGGAATTCATTGCTGCGCACACCAAATACCACTGTTACCACCTCGGCGCCTCAACCTTTTTCGATCTTGTAACTGATTCTGCGAGTTAAGCAGATGGAGCTCACATCCCAGGTCGTCTCCGTCTTCGAGCAATATCGCGGAAGCGTATATATTCAACTGATAGCTGTGGTATCGCCGGAGAACCGGGCCTCCTCTTTCCAGCAACTCAATTTGTCGGGATATATCCTCCCGTTGGAATAAGCAAAGACATGTTGTACGTAATCCTGCTAAGCTGCGGCTCCCGCCATATGGATTCAGGGGTATTGGACCTTGACCTGGGATACACATCTATCATACACGAATCAATCAACTTTTGCTTTAGCATAAACTGTCCACTTAACTGTGTACACAGTACCTAGCTGGTGATACCAACACAATTCGACGCGAATGGCCGTCCTGTCGAAGGATCAGATGAGCGCTTCGCTTCCCGTGGCATGCATATGTGGCCTCCGGAAGATGCCCCCGCTGAACTCTACCGTCTTCTCTGCCCTTCCTCATGCTCTGGCAAGGTGCAGGCTGTCTTGGACGGCCGCACCCTCATTTACTCCGTCGCTTCGCCAGGTCTTCCCCCGTACCACCTAGCAATAAACCTGATAAGTTTCGACCCTATGCTTCATATCCCTACCCTAATACCTCTGAGCAAATCAAAAATACCTGCTCACCAGAAGAGTCCCTTCCCGATAGCCCTGACGAAGCCAATATAGTCAATTGGATGCCTTGTTAAGGAAGTTGAGCCACTTTAGCGTGCCATAGACTGGGGATATAGGCTCCGATAACTCCAGGAGATAGAGATATACAGACATTTCTATTTTTTACCGGTTTACCTCAGGTAGATACTGGGATCCAACTACGTAGGGGACCCTTCGCACCGCAAAAAAATCCGAACATCCCCGTGGGCCACATTGAAACACTTGAACAAAATGAAGATGAGCTCGAATTCGTCTCGACTATTGTCAGGTTTCAATGGGTGAACATGGCAGCAGACTGTAGACATGATTACACTGCTTCCGAGCGCCAGTATATAGTATAATGCAGTGCATACGCACAAGAGGCGTTTTACGGTTGCATAATCACAAGGCCCGTCGTCTCAAAGGTGGATCTGTGATAAGGCCTTGCGGCCAGAAACCAGTTGCTTACTGTTTACAGTATTGCCAAGCTAATGCAGAAAGTAAAGAATTCTTATACGTGTTTCCATCTAGTTCCCATCATGTTTACCTAATTATTGTCCAATAGCCTTCGCTTCTTGTTCGTTAGGCGGCATTCAACAGTCGATGCGGCTACATGGACACGCAATTGATCAATCCTAGCTTGTATAACCTCTGTTACCCTCTTCAAAAACAAGATCTCTGCTTCCCTGTCATTACACAAAGATTCTTCTTTCACGACGTCAGGAATGTTGTCTAGCACCGGATCAGTGATGCCGAACCCAGTCAAGCTTTATAACACGTCAGCATGATTCAAGCTAGGCTTTGGCAGGCATTTATTCTGTTACCTTCTTTCATCCAAGTTCCCACTACCACCATCATGATTAGCTCGGATGTATTTATCAGACCTTCTAACACGACGGTGCACTTTTTGTGTGGTTTCATAGATTCTCTCTTGTCCAAGAGAAGAAGCAGCCATCGATGGTCGACCAGCCTCTGAGAAGTGCTTGAGCAGCCATGCTCCATATTCATCTGAATAGGAAATGGGTATGTGTTTGGTTGTACGTGACATGTTCAATGGTCAGGAAGTTGAGAGTTGGTATTTGAGGCAACGAATTAGTGGTCATGAAACAAGTTCTGGCTTGTCCTGCACTATTTTGTACTCCATATAACTGGAGAGCGTGGAGATCACATGATGTTTGGCGTGCTAAATGCAGTCGAATGGATGACATGTACAGCCAATATTGCTATCTATACTGGCTGTTCATTACTCAAATCTCGATATCAAATTCATCCACTTAAAATCTTTTGTAAATCTGAAATCATCAACAGTCAAGCTCGGCCCAGACGACATTTCCCTAAGTAAATACTTTAATTCAGGTATAAGCAAAATATCCGAGGCGAAGCATTTGATTTGCACCAGTTGGCTTGAATATGTTTAAATTGAATAATTATGTGATATGATTAATTGCAGGCGCAGTTTGAAATTCAAATAGATTGACGAAGAAGCGGCCCAGCAGACTTTATCTAATAGATTTTCTTAGTTGATACTTAGTTGACCAAAGTCGTGACTAATACTATATATCATGGGTATTCGGAAGATCTTGGATTATGGATAAGGGGGATCCTAGGTTTTGTCGCTCCAGTACACTAGAGGTGATAGGTGACTGCACTGTGTCACGCCCAGTGAGTTCAAAACCTTTTACAGTACCATGTCGTAAATGCTGGCGCTATAGAATTCATTCATGTTCATAATACTCGACTGGACAATTCTCACTCATTCCCGAGGATCTTAACATTTTAAATTAGATTGATCGTGACGTGGCCGTCCTCACCGTCACAGGGCTGCTTCTCCTCGCCCAGGTTATGAGCTACACATATATTTCTTAACCGCCTAGGTTATAAGTATATTAGTGACTAAAAAACACTGCAAATATCTACAGAATAGTCTAGGCGGGGTTTCGCAAATGGGTGGGGAGGTGACCTGGCGACCTGGATTAATCTATTATGGCTGTCCTCCATTTCCTTCCTCATGGTCCAGACATTGTGTTTACCTGCATCATTTTTGACAATCAATATGCTATTGCTTCAAAACATAAAACTTAGTATGCTCCTTCAGAAAATGATCAAGTTTGTGGGATTTACTTTATAAATAATATTTCTTAGCTTCTCTTCATACACAAGAAGTGGAACTACAGTGTAAAATTTGACTACAGAATGGAGGCCGTGGATCTATTCGATGCAATGAATTGATTACTACGCTATCACTATACTATTATAAAGGCCTATGATTGACTAATCCTTAATATGGACCCATCACCGAAGGATCAATGGAGGTTATTGAAGATGATAACAGATATCAATTGATCTAAACTGACAACCAGAATTCATCAAAATTGCCTTCAGAGTCGGCCGGTAAAGTTTATTTCATCGAAAGTCCCAAAATGGACGTGGATTAACTATTCGAAATGATTCAACCAGGTTCTGCTTTCAGAATTAACTACTGGAATAATTGAATGTCCTGAATTGAAGTCCGCCGAATTCACATAGAATGAACATCCGACCTCACGCCAGCGACCCAGCCATCCAAACTGGTAGCTCGAATAGAGGTGGTCGACTAAAAGTCTTGTTATGGCGGTTGGTTTTGGCCATATATGGTTGAATCGGAGGTCCATCTCAGTTAAATCAGTTTACGCAAATGATCTAGAATTTTTCTTGATGCAAGTGAATCTTCAATTACCCATCATAATGACCCATCAACTCGATTTTATCTTGGACTACCCAAACTAGTGTACGTAAAATCACTAAATAGACAGTATTCTATCGTTACTTTAATGTACATCACGATTAACAACTATTATTCACCACACTATTATGTAAAGTCGCCTACTTTTGTGTCATTTAACATCCAGGGTTCGTCTTCGGGGAGGTGTTACAGTATAGCGACTTTGCAAAGAGTTCGATTGTCACACTCCATTTTACTTCTGTTAATTTTGGTCCAAACCGATTTAAGAAGTCCCCATACCCTTCATTCTATAAGAGGTTGGTATAACAGGCATATTGTCCAGGTAAAACGATTTCGATCATCCAATCTAATCAAAGACGCAGCAATCAATGTCTCCTCAACATGGCAGAGAGAATCCAGGTTACGGAGAGCTACATGAAGAGGACTACAAGCAGTGGGCCAGGGAGCAATATGGAACACACAATTTAGGTTCAGAATCCTGGCATGACAAGTGTAAAATGAATGCCATGGATTGGTCCGATCTATACAGAAGCCCGCTACACACTGTGCGACCCTCGATCTCCCCTGCAACGCCATATCCAAGTATTCAGTCCCAGCTGTCTTGTGAGGAGCAAAGCATTATACTATTCTTTGTGTTGGGTCTCTTTCTGGTTGTTTTGGGACTTCTGTACTCTTTGAAGGGCAAGAAGGAAGCACAAGATGATATCATCACTTTAATTTAAATTGATAAATACAGGCTAGATCTCAGACCTCGACAGTTGAGGGCCTAGATATGCAGAAGCCGATCCGGTGATTGAAGAGGGGAATTCATAAATGTCAACGTCTACCCAGTCAATTTTGAGACTAGCCACTACTGAATATACAGTAACACCGTGCCGTGACTCCCAATCCAATCATGGATGTCAGACTGCAATCGCATAAGCGTCAATAGATTCGTGAACGTGGGGAAAACTATAAGTTGTATGAAGTATGCTTCACTGTGCCCTGGTATTCTACCGCCCGGGCACTGGGATCTACAAGCCCTTGTCGATATCAATTGAATCCATCTGTATGACCACATTTTGGTCATTAATGTATACATCTATAGTGGTATGAGTTTCATCTGGTACCCCTTTCGGTAGCCTGTTGGCTGTTAGGTTTGCTTGTTAAAGCCACCAACATACGAGAAAGCATTACAATAGGTTGATATCATCGATATCCCTATCCTCTCACGGTGGCCACTCTCTGCATTTGATGTCATACCCAACCCTTCCCGTCTTGCTTTTGTTAAATATATATCTACGGCCTCACTCTGTTGAGGTTTCAGCAGTCTTCAATGCCGCGGAGGCTTTACAGGATAGTAGGTCGTCCTCCCTGAGGCACACTAACCTTATACGGTAACGTGGATCTTCGGGAAGTGTGTATAGCACACTTCCACTCAGGGGTTATCTTAGATATCTTCAATATTACTCTTTTGGCTGGCATAAGCTACAGCTCCTCGTATCCTATCTCTCCTCATCTCAACAGGTTATGAGCCCGAGTGTGTATCAATCGGGCGCTGGATACTCTCCCATCCAGCTTAACTGATCGCTTCCTACCCCTGAGTCCTCCGACCGACCGCCGAATCGAACATGGCACCGAACACACGTCGTACAGCCGAATCGAGTAGGCGCCCTCGCGCTGCTGGAGGGTTTCCGAATAGCCCGATAGCTGCGCAGGGTCGAAGGAGCCTGGAACAAGAGAACGATGATAGCAAACTGGAGGATGCTGAGGATCGTGCGCAACAGGAGTTAGCAGATCAGATCCAACGAGATATGACTGCATCTCCAGCGCCATCATCCGCTAGCCAGCCGCAAGCCCAAGCGACCTATATAAACCCTGCGGACGACCCAGTACCGCAGGATAGCCGGAAGCGCATTGAATATGCTGCACGCCTGCTGAAAAAGGTCACGAGCTTACCCAAGGTGTCTCCGCAGCTGACCGGAGCTTCTAACTACCGGCAATGGCGAGAGAATATGGTCAATATGCTTGATATCAACTTTCTCATGGAGATCGTCACCGGAGAGATCGTAGAGCCTCCGCGAGGCCACGACCTTCGCTTTGACTGGGAAAGGCTCTGTATGATAGCTGGAACTGCCATCGTCAACAATGTCGTCAGCTCTATCAACGAGAAGATCAATCGCATGGCCAAGACACCAAAATCCGCATGGGAACTGCTAGAGATGCAGTACGCGGTGCCAGACGCGCACGTCGCGCAGAAAGGCTTCACGAAAGCCATGAATCTCCGCCTGAGCACCTGCTCCTCCATCACCGATTATTGCAACCAGGTCGAATCTGCGTGGGAGGATATATTTAGCGGGTGGACGTGGTGCGATGAATGGGAACACTGCCGGTGCTTGAATCTGCTGGCGGGAATCGATTCCGAAGATTGGCTGAATTGGAAGACTAGCTTTTTCTTATTAGTTAAGCAGTCGAAGAATCCTCGGAGATTATATAACTTCCGCAAAATAGTCTCTGCTCTCTTACAGGCTGAAAAACAGCTAAAGGAGCATACCTCTGCCTCTTCTACCGTTGTTAACACATCAACGACGTCTAAAAGAAGCAAGCGAGGCAACCGAGGTGGTAATGGACGCAGCGGCAAGACGACCAGCGCTCCAAGCGAGAACCAGAACCAAAAGCCGTCAAAACCGCAGTGTGGCTACTGCAAGAAGATAGGCCATACTGAAGAGCGGTGCTGGGAGAAGCACCCACATCTAAAGCCGCCGGCGAGCGATGCTAGCTCGAAGACGACCGAGGTTAAGGCTACAGAGGCCTTAATGACAGAGATATCTGATGAGCGAGCTCCAGCCGTAGAGCTACCAGATCTTGTCATCCAGGCTTTTTCTACCACAACCAGCGTCCCGATAGATCGCTGGGTGTGTGACACGGCGTGTGACGACTACATGATAGCGTCACCTGAATATTTTGTGCCTAGCACTACTAGGAAGTGCACAAGGACAATTAGAATGGCAATGGCCTCAAGAGAGGTTGAAATTACCGTAGGCGACGTCGAAATGGTTCTAGAGAACGGGTCATCAGCAGATGGGGCGCGCGTACGCCTCACCAATGTGCTATATGTACCCGGAATCAGATTCAACCTACTCAGCGGCTCCAGACTAACAGCCAAGGGCATCAAGTTAGAATTCGAAGGGTCAAAACTGACCATGAAACGGAGGGATGGTTCTATACTAGGTCTGGGAGACCTACGCGGACGCAGCTGGCTGATTCGTATCAGAGAAGTTATCCAACATAGCGCGAACGTTTTGGACACCTCCGTTGCAGCCTTTAAGGCGCCAAGATCGTCAAATATACGCCGAAGGAACATATCTGCCGAAGAACGGGACGAGCAGAGAGTTATGCAGCGCCTAGATAGGCGCCGGGTCAATGTCAGAACCTGGCATCGACGCCTAGGACACCCAGGCATGAAAGCTGTCACCTAGAACGGCACCAGCGGCTAATGGTATCGATATCAAGGGCCTACCAGTGCCAAAACGACCATGCAGCGCGTGCGCTTTCGGAAAGGCGCATCAAAATATCAGGAGAGATCCAGTACTCCACCGAAGCTCTGCCGAAGGCGAGCTCCTCCATATTGACATCGGCGGCGGTGGTAAGCTACCACGCGCACTAGGTAGTCAGGCTCGCTATTGGCTAGCAGCCATCGACGACTACAGCGGCTGGTGTACGGTCAAATTCCTCCGCCACAAGAGCGCTGCGAAGCACGCACTTAAGGAGATCATTACGGAATACGAGAGAGACCGCCAGGTGCAGGTCCGACAAATCCACTCGCTAGCCGATATCGTGGAGCCAGGAACGATCCCGGAGCTCCCGGAAGCCAATCAGCTTCCTCCGCGAAGAGATACTATCGTCGGAATACAATCAGATCGCGGGGGCGAATTCATCGATGCCCAGCTACAGCAATGGGCTAAGGATAGTGGCATCAAATGGGTCTTCTCTGCGGCCTACGCCCATGAGCAAAACGGCAAGGTTGAACGGCTTATGCGAATTCTCGGTGAAAGAACGCGCGCGGTGCTCAAGGATAGCAGTCTACCAGCATTTCTATGGGCAGAGATTATGCGTGCAGTCGCATTCCTCAGAAACTTGATCCCTTACCACGGCAGGAAGGTTGATGGCTCAAAATCACCATATGAACTTCGATACGGACGCAAGCCAGACCTAAGCTTCCTAAGCATTCTAGGGAGTGATGCCTACGTTGTTCGACACCAGGAAGAAATCCGCAGGAATCCTTTAGGCAGGCATCTCGCTGATAGAGCATGGATAGGCAAGCTGATCGGATACAGCAGCTATCATGGCGCTCTCTATAGGATCTTCCGCCCATACCGTGATGGCCGCCCTGGCGGTACAATCCACGAAGTTCGAGATGTTATCATCGATGAAGGAAGCGACTTCGACCTCTACGCTAATCCTGACCTCCCAGACCTCCAGCAAACCAATACAGATAACCCAACGAGGCAGAAAGTGGAGGCAGAACAAGCGTATGATACTGAGGCAAGCGCGGCTGAGAGCCAGGACGCTGCCGAAGACCATGACACTACATCAGACACCGAATCAGATACTGAATCGATCAATTCAGAGGTTTCTGATCAATCAACCTCTGCTTCCTCTATAGGCGATGAGACCACCGCGGTATACGCGACGATAGCTCCAAAAGCTGTTCAATACGCTACTACGCCGCGGGCAGACAGGCAGAGAATCGAGAGCCTAGTCCTGGCTACTACGATACAAAAATCGCCGTCTAAAAATCAACTCACTGCTGGAGCGGCCGTTGAGGACCTACCAGACCTCCCGCCGCTTCCGCTACTACAATCGGTAGACCCAAAATGGCTCGAATCACCACAGACGCTCGCTGAAGCGCAGGCCTCGCCGTTGTGGCCTTGGTGGTGGAGAGCTATGTGCGCTGAGAAGAAACAGCTAGAGATCCTCTCTGTCTGGAAGGCTATAAGACCACCGAAGAATACCAAAATTCTCTCTGGTAAATGGGTCTTCAAGCTCAAAATGAATGCCTCTGGCGAGCCAGCCAGGTTCAAGGCACGTTGGGTGGCACGGGGATTCATGCAGGAAGAAGGCGTCGATTACCACGAGACCTTCGCTGGCACTGGCAGATATGAGACCTTGCGCGTTCTGCTAGTAGCTATACTGCTCCTACGCCTATACACCGCACATGTGGATGTCAACCTGGCATATTTGAATGCTGTGCTAAAGGAGCAAATCTACGTAGATTACCCACATGGATTCGAGGACGAGGCACCTGGCCAGGCCTGCCTTCTTCAACGCAGCCTATACGGCCTCAAGCAGTCAGCATATAACTGGTATTTGACGCTAGGAAATCTCTTGATCAAACGAGGGTTCCAGCGCTCTGCAGCAGATCCTTGTCTATACACCCTCCGCACCAATCAGGGGGTGGCATTCATCTTCGTCTACGTCGACGATATGTTGATCGCTGCGTCATCTGAAGATCTACTGAACCGCTGCAAGCGCTATGTCTCTGCGCAGTGGTCGATCACCGATCTCGGACCAGTTTCACACTACCTCGGTCTCAAGATTGAGCATGACCGAGAGGGCGGTAGGCTGCGCATCTCACAGCGCGCCTATATTGAAAAGATTACCGCAGCTATCGCCGGCGACGTCTCCCGGCAAACACCAAGCACGCCTATAAGCGAAGAGCCTAGGGCGGCAGCAGAAGGCCACCAAGCGACCAAATCGGCGATCAAAACCTACCAATCAGCAGTGGGTTCGTTAATGCACGCCATGAACGTCAGTCGACCTGACCTCGCATACCCTCTAAGCGTTCTATCCCGTTTTCTCACGAATCCGACCGATGAGCATCTTCGAGAGGTCAAACGTGCAGCTGCATACCTTTCTCACTCAAGCAACCTCGCCATCGAGTACCGAATCGATTCAACTGATAACACACGCCGTAGCCGATCTGGGTATATCTTCTACCTAGCCGGTGGGCCAGTAGCGTGGGCATCTCAGCAGCAGAAGTGCACTGCAAAGTCATCCACTGAAGCTGAATACCTTGCCTATTCGGAAGCTGGAAGCGAGGCTATCTGGCTACAGCGTCTCCTTCGCGACATAGGCATCCAGAAGGATAAAGAACCGGTGACCCTCTACACAGATAGCGAACCTGCTATTGCCATGACAGAGAACCGCAAGGCGCATACAAAGTCACGCCACATCGAAACACACTGGCATTGGATACGCGAACAGATCCAGGAGAGAAAGATCTCTCTGAGACATACACCTGGCAGCACACTGGTGGCAGATGGCCTTACCAAGGCATTGACGAAGACTAAGCATGCCGAATTCATCAATCGGTTACGCTTCTACAGGCTATGAATAGCCTCGTTTACCCTACCAGAAGGATTCAACACCTTCGGTGGAAGCTCTGGCAGCTACAATAGCGCCGAGACGACTTGAAACAGCATTTGTTTGATTTGCATACTGTTCTTCTGACGTTCCTTACCTTCTACTCCACGTATCCCCAGCGCCATCTTGCAGCTGAGGGGGTGTGTTGAGGTTTCAGCAGTCTTCAATGCCGCGGAGGCTTTACGGGATAGTAGGTCGTCCTCCCTGAGGCACACTAACCTTATACGGTAACGTGGATCTTCGGGAAGTGTGTATAGCACACTTCCACTCAGGGGTTATCTTAGATATCTTCAATATTACTCTTTTGGCTGGCATAAGCTACAGCTCCTCGTATCCTATCTCTCCTCATCTCAACACACTCTACTTTGTCGGACCTAGTTACCCTGCGTAACTTGTGTAAGTCTAGCTATCTCACCTCCCTTGAAGAAATTGGTGCAATACCACCAAACCAGTGGTAACGACGGTGTTGTAAGCACCAGTCATAAGTAATTAAATCGGAAAATAAAACATAATGATGCATATAGTATTCGATACCATTGTCGTATTAGGGGTCCAAGTAATGAGGTTGCTAATTCTGTGTATCGTAATCAACCGTAACTGACAGCCTGGCTGGTCCAGGGGCAAGTTTTCCACCGATGTCTCTATCGTCGACAAGGGTATTCGTGTAGGCATTATGAACAAACCCGGCATTTCTAGTTATGGACGAGCAGATGTGGGTGATAACGTCACAAATTTTCATGCCTTGAACCTCGAGGCCGGCATTCTGAGCAGCTATGGCGGACACGTCAAACCTGGACCACCCAAGGCTGATACTTGAGCCAAAATCAAATTCACCCCAGGTTGAAGCATATGCCCCATTGGAATCAATGGGGATAGAATTACCGGGGGCCATAGCCCATCCGCCTTGAGAATTCTCGTCGAAGGCGAGATATCGAAACTGACCAGGAGCCAATGGAAATGTTCTGCACGCCTTCCCGTACCATCCACCCAGTGATCCATCTGGCCCCATATTGTTCCAGATCACCACAGTCCAGCTTTGACCTTGTACTGGACCTTCAAATTGTGCCACATATTTGTATTGGTTGGCGACTTCCCCAGAGACTTCAATAATGTTACTTCCATATGGGCTGCCAACATTGCCTATGGTGTTCATCCAGTTCGCTCCAGATGAAGGTGCAACGGGAAATTCGCCTCTCAAGTAGAATCGGCTCGCGTTCATGGGTCTTGCTCCAGAGGCACCTTGAGACAATATGATGCCGTGACGATAGGTATATGCCTGACCCAATGTTCCAAAGCTTAAGATAGTTGCTATCCAGAGATTGGATAAGTACATTCTTAAGGAACTCTGGTTTTCGGCTTTAATAGTATGGAAGAGAGAATGACCGGGAACATTTTCTGGCAAGGCCTCAGTACGCTTCAGACATTTAATAACAACAAAAACCTGAAAGGCAAGTCAACACAGGCTCATCAACCAGACTCGAAAACCTACAGGAGTAGAAGTGTTCAACAATCCGTAGTGCTGTTATAATCCCATTGGATGGATGCTGGGAATTCTCAATGAGCGGCGACTCCTTAGTAACACGCGACTAGATAGGAAGATAGCTGCATTTGCGCCATGTGTTGACCTTCGTTTTCCTTGGTGCCCTACGAAAAAGCCATACATTATTATCGATCATGAATGAATCCACCAAGCTTGTTTCTCAGCAAGGTAAATTAATATACAGTGAATAACCATGTGGAACCTGAGACCCACGAAATCATATACGGATCAATGACAACCTATGCAACTTTGACATGGGGTCTTTCAGAAGTTGGATAGGACAGGATTGAAGAAAGTGAATTCCGCCGAACCATGTGCGTTTCACTGGGTTCAAAGGGCCTCTCGGGTCAGTTTGAACAGATTTCTACGAATCAGCACAATGATTAAATCAAATTGGAATTCAATAGGAACAAAGAGACAGTGCAAGGCGATTTGCCCACGCCTGGACTCTGATAGTGTTAAATTCCTTAATTAGTCTCATTGGCCATTGTTGATGATATTGTTGAGAGCTCAATTTGGTCTGCGAAACCAGGGGTTAAGATTGTTTATTTCGGCCTTCCAAGAGCTCCTTGGACTTGCTTTGTTAGCTCGAGTGAAGGATAGGAAAGACGTTATCTACTGAGGCTCCATCACTGAATTTGCATTTGAGATCAAAACTCTCGGGAGGGTGTCTTGTTTTCCATTCCACGACGTCTAAGTAATCATAAAACACCAACTTATACACTCAGTATTATTTTGCTTTGTTAAAAGATAATATTGTCATAATTTCAATTAGTTGGAAAATGCAAATGTGAATTTATCAAAATAAGACATCATTATATGCGTGCAGTAGGTGGAATTGGTATTGCGTCTGGGGCCGTCTCGGTAAATGCTACTATGATAACAAACTATTTGGTGGATACATCACATTTCTGAAGGATCGTATTCTCGCCGATACCTTTCACGGGCCGCTTGAATTTATCTTCCTGTAGTTATTTTCCGCCCAAAACGCCAATCCTTGTCCGAAAGTGGCCCCAAGACAGCCTATGAATCAATAGATCGATCAGAGAATACTACACACATAGAGATGCACAGAAAAAGGAGGCAGAATTGATAAAGGGGATTGCGATATAACAAAGTATTTAATTGAAGGGGTATTTATCTGACAATGCGGGATGTCTCCAATCCGATGAAAGCAAAGCCTCAAAATCTTACGGGCATGGTTATCGGTGATGAAATAATGGTCAATTTGGTTATAGTGGGTTGCTTTTCTTAACTTCATACTCATTAAATATAACCGATCAATGAAATGAAACAACAAAAGACTCAACTGAATACATTAACAATCCGAGGCTAATTTAGCAAATGCCCGAGGAATCCAGGGCGCGGATCGGGAGACTTGGTCAAAGGCATTGTAGGTTCATGCTCTGAGGAAGATGATCTTGATGGGCTAATATCAACATCTGAAGCAAATGTGGTGTGTTCGCTAGACGGAAATGCCTCTGTGTTTGGGACAGGCTTGGCATGCACTGTGTGTAAAGCACACCTCCCACCATCCAGAACCTCATTTTCTTCACAGGAATCGTTGTGATCGATTCCAGACTGCTGGCTGAGGATCTCACCATCTGTCACTGTTTTCTCAGAACTCCTCGTTCCCTGAGTCAGACCATTTTGGCGATCTCCGAATGCCCCGTACAATCTCGTCAACATTGTGGCCGGATCTGACTGATCGTTGAAAATTTGATACGCAGTGTTCTCTGGCTGAAGTTGGTTTAGCGGTTCGCAAGCCACCCGGGTAGGATTGCCTCTCGGTAAACTCAACCTGGTCTGGCTCGAAGTAGGGACGTAAACTTCCTTCGCTGACATGTCTGGTGTTGGTAAGTGACGAAGGCCTTCGGTTCTTTTGAAATCTGGCGTGATTGGAATCGTAGAAGACACTGAGCCTACGTTTCTCCGCCTCGCTCTTTTCTTCTGTCTACGCCAACCGCCGTTCTTCTGTGCTACGCGCCAGACAGCGGCACGGATAGCACTACAACTTCGAAAATGACGGAAATCACGTTCAAAATGCTTCTCAATCGCGTCATCTGACAAGTTTTCATATTTTTTAAACCACCGTGGTAGGCGTTTGAGGTCCTGGGACTCCCATCGACGGGACTGAGATGGGGCTAGATCTCGCGGTTAGTTAACTCGTTATAATCCCAAGCCAAGGGGTTCCCACCAGCATCCTTATCCACGCTCCTGGTCATTTCTACACATTCATTGTCTGATTCGAATTGTGGAGAATTTGGACCACCTCCACTCGAGTGGTACAAGCAGGGAGTCAACAGAGATGGTTGAGAAGAGCATAATATATTGCTCAAACCTTCTTCAAGAGCCTGCACCTTATCTGTCAGGTTTGTGAGGATTGCTTTGTTTGTTTCGATAACTAGATGCGTCAGCAATTTGTCAATCAAACAAGAGTGTGGCGTCCTGACATTGTAAAGCAATTTCGTTGCATGTTGACAGACCACTCATCATTAAATCCAAGGTGTCCCTTTCTGCTAAAATATCGCTCAAATATGCCTGAGGATGAACAAGTTTTCGGCGCGTAGAAATTAGGTCGTGATCCCATGCGGACATCTCAATAAGTGCGTTACGCTTCTGGACGCGACATAGGTAGTTGCCATTTCTTTGTAGTTGTGGTTCAAACTGAAGCTCCCCAATAACATCAGCCCAAAGAATCTCGTCTTCATCATATGAGATATCCGCTTCCACAATCTCGGGCTGAGGTTTTGAAAGTAAATCTGTAACTTTAACAGAAATCGCATCGCTCAAAAGCCGAACGCCAAACATTCGTGCAAAACTTGTCACACCTTCGAAGACTGCTTGCTGTGATTGCGAGAGTGCAAGAGCGGAAACCAACTTTTCTTGTATCGGTAGGAAGTGTTCGGAACGGATCCTTGTTTCCCACGAGTGTACTGCCGACAAATAATTTTGATTTTCATTGTCTGCAAGAGATGTGCCATCTTGACCGCCAGAATCTGCATCCATCGCCCTGTCATAAGGGTGTCAGCTCCGCATTCAATTTGTTTAAGATTGTACCAACTTGATAATTCTCAGGCAAGGTTGACTTTGAAGTGTTTGGGGGTTTCCCTTGCTATATTCCCGAACTTCAAATTTACTCTCCAGCCAGGAGTTTCCGTGGACATCGCGCCCGTTTTTATATGCCTGTCAGGGCCCACTACTCTCTATGAGTTAGCCGATCAGGGACCTATTCGACGTGTATCGATGGTGCATTAATGGATGGGATCGTTGAGCAAACGAAGCTCATTTACAGATCAATATAACGCGATATCTTGGAAATAGCGCCCAGGCATAAAGGTAAATTGCGCAGTAGTCTCTCATGCCGATTATTCTCTAGGGTTCGTGGATTGCGGTCATCTTGAAATTTGACTAGCAAGATGCTTCGCTCATTCAACGCCGGTAATCAGCATTGTTCAAAACGTCAATATTCAATCAAAATCAGACAATTAGGGTGGAGCTCCGCTTCAAGTGACAAAGGATGAATCCCAGTAGACTTGGCATGTAGACCTCTCTTCTCTACCGTAATGATTCTTTCTCCCTCTGGGCTCCGAAAAATTAGCAAGCGACTCCACAGCGCAAACCATCGGACAAGCCATTATCGCACTTCGGACTTCCCGTGATTGGCTTACCGCAACAAAATTGATTGCTTTTATAACCGGTGTTTAATTTGGGGCGGATTTTTTCAGCGAAGAGCAGTAGTCACGAGACTTGGTGCCCTCCTTTTCTAGGGGATTCTAGGTTGATCGGCATTGATATTGAGGATCTGTGACACGGGTCGTCATGTGATAGCGGGCGACCACAGCAGTGCAGCACTCTATTTGCGAAAAGACGGTGACGTAAAGATCACTACTGACCCTACGGATATTTGTCATGAGGCTCCTTCGCCCCATACAAACCCCAGAAGCAGAGTCAAGACAAGCAAGCACGCTGCTCGGGGACCCGATCTCCGCACTCGGACCTGCACGACGTACTACATTGCGAGCGGTATAGCCGGTGCGAACCGTGGTTCGTCTCAACAACTGTAGGTCCGCGCTAGTGGTGCTGTAATTTAGCCGTACGACGCTTACGATGGGTGACTCTACCGACGATGGAGTTAGCACCTGCCCATTTTTTACTAGCCCTGGAGTAGGCAATCCGTGGGACCCAGGCGGCCCAAATCGGCCGGGAAAACTCCCAGGCTTCCCTTTAACACCCATCTATTAAATTCAATCAACTAAGTTCTTCCAGCGACGGTTAGCATTTTCTTGTGGAGAACCCGGAAGAAGCAACGGTAATTTTTTGAATTGGTGAAATATTCCGTCAATCAAGAATCTACGACGCCAGCAATCCATGGCAGCAATGACCGACTACTCGCTAAGTCAACGATAGTAGGAGAAAACCGACCGTGGAACTTCTCAAGGAGCAATCTTCGAGGAATTCTAAACTCTAGTTCAATGCTTCATAATCAATTTGTAATCAAGTTCATACTCCGGAACTCGCTGAGTTTTAAGGTCGTAGACTTTTAGGAGAGAATTTAACAAAATACACGTTGTTGTCTTTTATACACCGATTATTATCGGACTCGCAACCACAGTGCAAGAGAAGGCATCGAGGGTGAAACCCGACCTCATTCCGGATATCATGTCACTATCTTTGCCCCGCCCTCCCTTCGAAAGTGCAAGCGAAGTTAACGAGCTCCGGTGGGCCAAATGCTCATCTAGATTCGTCCCCTTTAGAGTATGGAGATCACTCCCCCGGGTGGTGGAGACTAGGGCAGATCTCTGAACGGCTTTTGATTGTCTCTGAAAGATCTAGATCAGTCTTACTGTACTATCCTCGGGATAGATTTGCCACAACTAGTACCAACGAACGGCGCATATCCGTATACATTGAGCCCAGAGTTTAGAACATACATTTGAAAATCTAGAATATACCGGCGTCAAAGAAACAGGCTTTAATTAGACAGTTCGTCCTTCAATCAGGCCACAACCTCTGGCAATTGATATAGATACCCAAAGTCACTTCAAGGACTCTCCCTGTGGGCCCGGAGATTTAACAACGACCCCACAGCATAAACCACGGGATATGGCTGATGGTACCTCGGACTTCCAGTTATTGGCTCATCACATGGCCTTGATTGCTTTTACGGCCCCTGGAGTTAGATTGGAGTGGGTTTAGTTAGCGATAAACATCAAACGAGCAAAGGCTCGGTGCTGTCTGTCGCTACGTGAGTTCTGGGTGGCCCGCACAACTTCTGGCGCACGGATCATCATGTATAACATGCGAGCGCAGCACCTTATATGCAAACAATGGTAACATGAAGCTCGTCATTCATTCTACAATTTGGATATACGTTGCCGGCCCCTTCGCCCCGGCCCCCTTTCAAGAAGCGAGGCTAGGATAAACAACCTCGCTGCTTAGGTAGCAACCTGATCATCGCGCTCGGACCAGTACGGCGTGCTACATCAGGAGCAGCTATCTGGTGTGAACCGTGGTTCGTTTCTCGACGGGCTATGATCCGCACTGGTGGCGCTGTAATTTAGCTGACGCTTCCGACGACATTGCCGACCGTGGAGCCATCACCCACTCGTTACTTCCCAGGCCCGCCTTAGGCAATCCGTGGGGCCCCAACGGCCCAAACGGACCGGGTAGGACCCCGGGCCTTCCCTTGAAATCCACTTATTTTGAATTCAACCATCTACAAGAGCCGTCAGTAATGGCTAGCATTTTCTGCTCCTGAAAGGCCGGAAGAAGCAGCACTAGTATTTGATCAAGTCAACCTCCCACCGAGACCGCGAGAAATTCTCTATTTCGATCCCCCTTAGTGGCCGACTATTCGCCATTGTCAACGACACTAGGAGATTACCAACCGTGGAACCGATCGGCGAGCTATCTCCGAGGATTTCCAGACTTTAGTTCAACCTGGATAATGAACTCTGTCCTTAAATTTATACACTTGCTGATGAATTGTCTGAGTTTTAGGGTCGTAAGTTTAGCGGACGTATTAATTGGGGACACGCTGTCTTTCTATACCACCGATTATTGTCCGACTCGCAACCGCCATAGTGCGGGAGAACCCTGCGTCGAGGGTGAAACCTGACATCATTCCGACTCCCGAAGTGAAAGCGAACTCAATGGACCTCCGGTAGGCCAAAAGCTCACACGGTTAATTCAAAAGATGGGCGACCCACGCTAGAGAGATCGCCATTGGAGAGCATTCCCCAGGAGTAGGGATTGTGGAGACTAGGGTAGATCTCTCGACAAAGCTTTGCTTGTCTCTGAAGATCTAGACCAGTGCTACTCATCCTCGGGGTTACTATTCTCCAACATCTGCTTTGAGGGGTTAGTACCATTAGCCACAACGAGTACAAACTAGCGCCGCATATCCGTGATACATTGAGTACTGATTTTAAGATATACTTTTAAAAATCTAGAAGATACCATCATCAGAGAAACGGATTTTATTCAGGTAATTCCTCCTTGAATCAGCCCGCGGCCTGCAATATTTGATATAGAAGCCCAAAAATTATTTAGTTGCACCACACGTACTTGCTATCTTTTGTGCCCAGTCCGAGGCTACCGTGGCTTTCTTTGGTATGGCTGTTATGTGGCAAAGGGTGTTGTAATCCACAAGCTGTTCCGTCGGCGCGCTGATAGAAAAGTCCCCCGTCGATCGAATCTAAACAACTATCAGTATGAAGTGCCTTAGTAGGGGGGCTATCGTGACAGTCCTCACTCTGTATACTTGGGTTTCTAGAAAGGGGAGTCGATGAAGGGGTGAACACATCCCCTGGCAACGTCCTCCTTGCCGAAATAGAGTCTTGATATACCTCAGCCTGCCGCCATTGCTCCAGTATTCGACGGGCCACTGGATCGGGAGCCTTCAAGATCAACGGTGGGGGAGAAAGAGGGAGCTCCTCCAAAAGGCTTCGCTGAAGGCGTATATTCTGTGCATAGGCAGGTTGGACAACCTCCTCATAGAGAGGGCGTCGCCTGCGAATGCCCTGGTCTAATTGTTCGAGCTTGCTACGTAGCGAGCTGATAGACCTCCATTTCCCAGTCTGCCTGAAGTATTCCTCGCGCTTTTTCTTCCAGGGCAAATGCTGATGACGAGACATCCATTCTTGAAGATTGTCTTCTTCCTCCACCGTCCAAAGAGTGTATTTTCCATCAGACATTTTGTGGGGGGATTCAAAGTCAAGTATCAAAACAAGAAGGCTTCCAGTGTGGATGAGTAGAAGAAACGCTTGAAATGTTGAAATGAGGAGTGGACTAAGGGAAGTGCCAGACATTTACCTATCGAAATCCTTTTTTACTACACCGACAACATTTACGACGCTGTTCAAAACTATAACGAATTCAGTTAGTCAGGAACATACTCTGATGGCCCCTTTTGTCACTGGTTAAATTGGATAGTGAGGCAGAGATTGTATGGTACCGATCATTTTGCACAATCTAGCATTTAATACGGCTAACTCTCAAGTCCCAAATTGAACAATTAAACCTCCTTTACACCCTTGATCAATCCCGAAATCAACCATCTGGACTAAAGTGTAGAGAGATAAATATAATATTCAATTTTCTGTTGCTGAGCGAACAATACATTTGATCTGTTTAATTTACAACCTTTTATCTGACCATACCCGTCGAATGAGGCCCCTAGTCTTATTTTCTCCCTTACACTGTGCAAAACGTGTTGTATTTACGTCTTTTATTTACATCCCAGTTCCCATCTTAACGAAGAGTGCGGAATTTCCCTATGGATATAGTCAATCGCCCGCTCGCCCGCTCGACTGCACTGGTTTCACAGCCCATATAGAGTACCACACCATCCAGATCGATGGTATGTTCTAGAGAGCCCTAGTGCAAGCTTCGCAACTAGATAATCCGTAATGGTAATTTGTCATGAATTATTTTCTCACGGTATAGCCAGAAAAGGCAAAGGTTACACAGAAACGGTAAGCAGACGGTATCACGCTATATTATGTGGGCTAGCGTGAGCTTGCATCCTTTCTATATATATTCGCTAGGCCCATCCTCAGAACACGCATTTCAACCACCACAGCTTGCTGAACTTGTCCACCTAGCGAGTCTAGCCATCATGGTTATTACGCATGGCGCCGAGCCCGACGAAACCTCTATGGGTCTCTACGCCGAATGGCTTCAAATGTTCCCTCCCAAGCCTAGTAGGCCTTCCGATATCTATAGCATGCCCGAGTCGGCCGCTGCCTCCCCAGAGGAGGACTGCGCTTTCGAATACACCGACGGACAGTCATGTGTGGAGGAACATCAAGATACAATGGAAGAAGATCATCAGGAACAAACAGAAGCGGAAGACCAGACCGCGGACACGCTAGGTGTAGCCTATGACGGGAACGGGACGATCCCGGGGGACATGCTGAGAGATCCCAGACTTATGAGCAAAGTTTTCACCGAGTGCGTTGATTCGCCCATTCTCCACGATAGAAGCGATGAACACTAACAGTTACGGTAGCCTAGATAGTCGAGTCAGGTAAGTCAACCTTACCAGGAGCAAGCCCTCCGGTCACTTCCATGCTGATGGACTTCTTTAGGGGCGTAGAAGAACAGTTCTTGGAACAGAACGCTTGGAATGGAAATATGCAGCAAAACATGGAGAATATGGCACATGGTTATGACGAGATTCAAAACCTCAAAAAAACCATAGCCACGTTACAAGAAAAGGTTGCCGCCTTATCCTTGGCCAGAAATGGCACGGTGGAGCGGAGGCCAGGACGCCCGAAACGACCCACGCAGTGAAAAGATGCACCCTGTGTTGGTGGATTACGTGGAGGCATGATGACAGAGACTCGGAGTCACAGGTGAGAATGGAAGGTTCCCGCCAAGCGGCATGGTCCTATAGTTACTCTGGTAGCTACCCGCGATGTTATGAGGTTAATATGATCATGGGTCGTGTATGTATCTACTTTGGAAAGTTTACCCTCCTTTTAACTCCGGTGCCATGGCAGTTGAATAGTTCATTGTGATCCACTTCCTAACTCCGGTGCCCTGTCAAGTCCTTAGCTAAAGCATAGGAATAACTAGGTAACTACACGCATAGAGGGCTTTGAACTGGCGAACATGGAGTTGTCTCTTCTGAGGCCGATGGGAGAGGGTTAGCGCTGGTAATAAAGGTACTGGTTAGCTAGGGGCACCATAAAGTGCTTACGTGACCATATTCCCGGGACATTCCTGCTGCCGTCCGCTCCTAGTGGTCATCGGAGATATCTCACGGACGAAGGCATTATTACCGTCGGCAGGGGTTTCGGTTGGAGTCGAGCTGAGCCTTCGGATTATCCCCAGCGTTGGGTTGAACCGATCCACGGCAGCGACCTGTAGAAGCAGCTTTTTGCGACTTCGAACGACTGGGGTTGAGCAACAATCTAAGTAAGCCGAATTTCCGGTATTTCTCGTCTTTCGTGCAACAAAATTCTCCATAAAGACCCTTCTAGGTAGACTGGCTCGTTCCTTAGAATTTGCCCAAGGCTTATCGGACATCGCCGAGGGCGATCATAGCGCTCGGGCCATAGATTGCTAAGATCGACCCGGAACTTGAAATATATGCTAGTAATTTAGCCCCTCCTACTCAATCTGCGATAGTTCAATGTCACCGATCCCCGCTGTCAAAGCCACAGCCCTAAATAAGAACAGGCGAGGCAACCCCTCGCCGGGGTGATCGCATAGACGAGGCCACCTTCCATGGTTCGACAACTGAAGGTCCTTGGTTCCGCGTAAGTGTTCCCTCCAGACCCTAGGGACGGTGTATAGAGGTCCGAGGTCTGCCTGAGCGCTGCGTCTACTACTCTTATTGAGGTTTGGTTTATGTCACTGCCGTGCTACCGCGTTCACTTTCTCCTTAGGCTATTAGCTCCCACGAGGTCTGTTTAGGACCTACTAATTATCCTCTAATGGTAGATCTCGGATACGAGGTTAATTTAGGATGTGGCTAAAATGTGGGAGGAACGAGCGCTAGAGCTTGCATCTAGAAAGATCTGCGATCGGGTTAACTTTAACCCCCCGTTAGCGTGAACGGTCGCCCTTTCCCGCCAGCCAACGTTCATGTGTGAAGCTCTAGCCTCCGGATGCCTAATTTCCGGCCCGTTTCTCGATCACCTTGTATTTTGATTAGCGCCGGACTTGCCCCGGATGATCTCCTGGTACTTTAAACCCGGCCCGCCAATCCCACTATCAAAGAGTAACTCGCTTCGGCCCCAACTCAATGCTGGCCAACGGTTCGAATAGTGCCGCGCCGCTTCATCGTACCCTAGCGTACCACATTTCCATCATAGATTCCTATGGTTCCCAGCGTAGTTGCTCCAGACGTCCGGCGAGATCTGTGTACTGGAGAATACTTTATGGTTCCCAGCGTAGTTGCTCCAGACGTCCGGCGAGATCTGTGTACTGGAGAATACTTTACATATCTCCTTCAACCAACGGTCTAGCCTAACCTGATCCAGGGTGTTTCTAGGTTTACTAGAGGATGAATCGAAAGAATCATGGAAAACTTGTGTTCAGAGTATTAATACTACAGCTAATTGCTACCTAATATATATTTCGAATGCATTGCGGTTTAAAGGTGTTGATAATAGGGACAACATCAGGGTGTCTTGACCCCTAAATCATTTCGTATGTGTCAAAGTGGGACTGGTTTTGAGCGTTCGATGCATCAAACAGTGGCCCCGTGCTCTCCGGTAGAAGAGGATTTTCCAACATAGTAAATTGGCCGTTTTGCGCGGTCTAGGAGTCTTGAGCCACGTCGGACCCGGGCAAGCAGGTACCGAAGTACACATATTGGGACTCTTGGGACTCGTTCATCTTTGTACCAATCTTGTCTGTCACTGTTGACGAGAGGCTATGCAGTTCCTTTAATGTCATATGGACTTCGTCCCGCGTGACATGATTCTGGCAATCCGAATTGATGGCATCCAGGCGTTGTTGCAAGAGCACGTTTTGCTCTCTCAGTTTTCGGACTTCGTCAATAGCCGTCTGTTTTTCCGAGGTGATTTGCCGAACCTTTGCGTTCAGCTGCGTCCATTCGGCGCCAATCTGCTGCTCGGCTTCGGATGCTTCCCGCTGGTGGTCAGTGAGGCACGCCGCAAGCCGCTGATGACGTTCTTCGGCCGACTTGATCGTCGTGGTGCAGTTCTCATGGACGATCTTAAAGTCTGCGTTCATATCATGCCCTGACGTCATTTTCAGAGACCGCGAGGCTGGAGTCTACGTACAAGCTGTAAAATTTAGGTATATATCTATATCTCACGTCTGTCTGCCTGTTATTCTGCAAAGCTTACCGTTGGTCGCATCTGAGTGCCCCGAGACAAATTACGGGGCGCGTGGTCGACTCTCTGAGGGCATGTATCGAGTCCTTTCAATGCTCGGTTATTCAGTGGAGCTTCGCTACTATAGGCACTTTCCCAGTTGACCTAGATAGGGTACTTTCAAACCTTAAGATCTCATTCCCAGCGCCTACACTACTAAACATTTGATCTATCCAAATTGACCTCAACACCAAAAGCCGCCATTCAAGCGGAGAAGCTCTTTACTCAAATATCTGCTAAGGCAACAGTAAATCAGCCACTCATTTCCTACCATTTTGGGATTATCACATTGGACCTTCAGAACTCAGTGCATTCCACTAGTTGAGTCAGAAAAGTGTGGAAATAATAGTGATGATGTTTGCTCCCCATGGATATGTTGTAGGTCTTGGATAGTGAATGCAGGGATCGTAGTTAAGAGTGGTCTGTAGCGTCAGAAGGAATGATCAAAAAGACTGATCAAAAGAGCCGAAAACGCAGTGCAGAATAAGTGCGAAGACTAAGCCAAGCCTGGGTGGAAAAACAAGTAAGGAGTTGCCAAAGCAGTAAGTATTCAGAAGCTTGGCAAAAGTGAGCAAAGTGAGCTAAATTCGTCAAAGCAAAGTCTGCACATAAGTTGAGGAAAAGTCATCCAAAAGGTGTGCATTAGGTACCCTTGTTTCCGAGATTTCAAGTAGCAGTAGGTTGTAATGGCTAATCTAAAATTATTTACTGGCACCAATCGATTTTGAGGTCAATTTCTTGTGTCCTTCCCTTGGTTTTCGTTACGATTTATTAACTTTCAATTGATTTGAATGTTCGAAATTGGTGCACTTCAGAGTGATTAGTTCTGCCTTTCCTTTCAGGATTTCGAAGTTACAGGACATTTTTAGGATATTGTGGACATGAAATTTGGCAGATGCGAGATTTCTGGGGATGCGGAACGTGGAATATTGGGTGTGAATACAGATTCACTAATCAGAATATATTAACCAGTTATGATTAGCGGGGTGGCGCATTTAGAGATGTTCAGCATTGAGAGAATGTAGGTATAATAGATAATTATTTTTTGAAGGGGGGGCGGCGCGCAAACGAAGTCTGAAACAGGTCCGAAGATTAAGCAAAGTTAAGGGTAGTATTGCGTGAAAAATGGTCAAAAGATGTTCAAAAGGTGCTCAAAAGGACCCATCGGGTTCGAGATTCATTTCTCGTCTATCCCAAGTTTTAATATGGATTTGCTGCTTCAATCACCTTTACTGTTCGGAGCAAGAATGTACAAATATTACTGATAAATTGCACCCAATCTTTGGATAGATGAATTGGAAGGGAGCAAAAGAATCCTGCAAAACAGAACCATTAAAAGAAGGGACAAGAAATAGCGGGAAGGAACTATTCCTCAGTTGTTCAAAAGAGGAGCAAAAGGCTTGCCAAAGGTAGGAAGCGAATAGTAATCAAAAAGTAAACATATTAACGTAGACCACACTCAAGCGGAACACCCTATTTGAATTTAGAGATAGTTTTTGGTTGTTGACTCATCAAACCCTGAAAATTCGCATCTTGCAATGGTGCTTTTAGGTGGGCTGGCAAGGGTGGCCGATAATTACTTTAGTTAACTAGCTACTCCGCCCACAGGCCATCACGTCACTTATCACTGTCGCATAGCAGGATGCATGAAAAGCGAGCGATATCTAGCGATATCTGATTGATTGATTGATTCTTGTTAATTGGTAAATCGATTCTGCTCGTATTCGTCGAGTTGCACGACGTCAACTTTGACTCCGTCTCTGTGATATTCTCGACAATCACGTTGTTGCGTTGTTCTACATCTTTCATATAATCATCCATGTACTGAACAAGCTCTAGGGAAGATTGGAGACGAGGAAGTGAGTGGATGTTGTAACCCAATTTACACAGGCCCTGTCACAGCCGGAACTCCTGCCATTAACTATCTTTTGGTACGAGTGAGCTTGGACGTAGTTTTTTGACCACACCAGTCGTCTATTGCATGGATACTGCATTGCTCAGAACTATTGTCACCGAGAGTTATCCAGGATTATCTGTTTGGTCAAGAAACTTGGCTTGAGAATTCCGGTCAATTGTCTTTCCCAATCTCTCTCGACCATTTGGACCTACAGACCTAACGCAGAATGATCATTGGCTATAAAGACCTCTCGTAGCTACCTCAATGATTCTCCCTCCCTGTGGGCTCCGAGAGAGCAAGCGACATCACAGCGCAAGCCATAGGATAGGCCGTGGTCGCGCCTACGACTTGCCGTGATTGGCTTACTACAAAACTTTGATTGCTTTTAGAACCGGGGGCGGATTTGGGGTGGATTCATTTGGCCAAATCAGAAATCATACTACTTACAAGACTTGGTGTCGTCTGTTCCTAGGGGATTCTGGGTCGATCATCATTGCTATCGAGGATCTGCGGTACGGGTCATCATAGAATGGTGGGTGACCGCAACACGCTGTATGCAAAACGACGGTGATGATTGGATACTTTTGGTCCGCCTCCTTCGCTCCATACGAACCCCAGAAGTAAGTATAAGCAAGCGTGCTGCTCGGCAACCTGCTTTTCGCACTCGCACCGGTACGAAGTGCTACATTCCGAGAAGTATAGCCCCTAGTATGAACCGTGGTTCGTCTCTGAACAGGTCATGTTACGCACTGGTAGTACTGTAATTAAGCCGTACGACGCTTACGGTGGATAATTCTGCTGACCGTGGAGCTTGCACCTACCCATTTTTTACCAGCCATGTAGTAGGCAATCCGTGGAAACCAGACGGCCCAGACCGGCCGGAGTAAGCCCCAGGCTTCCCCTCAATACCCACCTATTAAAATTCAATCATCTAAGATCTTCCAGCGATGGTTAGCATTTTCTTCTTGAGAGCCCGGTAGAAGCAACACTAATTTTCAGTTAATGGAACTTTCCACCAAACAAGAAGTTACGACCCCAGCAAGTAATGGACAACTAACGACTAAGTCGACGGTAGTAGGAGAAAATTGACCGTGGCACTAACCAAGGAGCAACCTCATAAAAATTCGAAATTTGATTTCATGGCCTGATGATGGAAGTTGTGCTTAACCGTATACTCCAAGATTGGCTGAGCTTTGAAGTTCGTAAACTTCGTTGTTGTCTTTTTATACCACCAATTATCACCGTACTTGCAGCCAACTTCGTGTAGGAGAAGGCATTGAGGGCGAAACCCGATCTCATTACCAATATTATGCTCACTATGCTTTCCCCCGCCCTCCTTTCCAGAGTGGAAGCGAAGTCAATGAACTCCAGTGGGCCAAATGCTCATACACTAAATCAAAAGATGAGGGACCCACATCTAAAGAGGTTGCCTTTAGAGTAGGGAAATCATTTCCTCCGGTAGTGGAGGCTAGAGTAGGGCAAGCTCCACAGCTTGATAATATGCAATAGTAATTTAGTATGCATTTTCTTCTGACGGGATATCCAAGAAGGCAAAGGAGATACAAAAATGCTAGCCGGACAGTATCACGCTTCATTATGCAGGCTAGCCTCAGCTTGTACAGCGCCATTCTTAGTACACGAATCCCAATCACCACAGTTTGCCGAAGTTCGTCTACTTACGGGATTTATTGCCTACATAACCCTGCCGCTCTCCGCTCCTAGCGACCCTTTATCCTAAAGCCGATGGTTGTCGAGATATGACGAGTGGCGCTCTATCAAGGGGAATTTACTACAGATGAATTCCCTATTCTCGTCGTCGGTGGTTTAGTTAAGATACTGCTGAGGCCTCGGACTATGCGCCCCTGCTAGATTATATCAGTCCCTAGTACCGACCTATGGAAGGCGAGTACTTGTCTAATTCGAGCAACTAGAGTGGAGCAGGTTTCTTAGCTGTGTCACATTCCGGGTATTTATCGCGTTTTGTTCCAAGAAATTTCCATTAACGACGGCTCTAGGTGGATTGTCTCTCTATCGAATTCGGCCAAAGCTTATATCGGACATGGCCGGAAGATCATCGCGCTCGGGCCATTGACTGCGAAGATCGACCCAGAACACTAAATATTCGCTAGGAATTTTGCCCCGTCCAACTCAACCTGCGTTAGATCGGTATAACCGATCCTCCCTTTCAAAGCTGCAGCCCTCGGTAAGTGCAGACGGGGATACCACCCATGGTTTGACCATTAAAAGCCCTTAGCCCAGTGAAGCTGTTCCCGCCAGACCGAGGGAAGGCGTACATGTCTCCCAGGTCTGCCCTAGCGCTAGTCCACTACTCTTCATGGAGATTAGATGTGTGTCGGAAACGTGCAAACCTACAGCGTTCGTTTCTGTCTGGAAAGATAATTCCCAGTATTTGGCATTTTGAGAGGGTAACTGATGGTGGCAATTCTAACGTGGGAGATATCTAAATACGAGGGTTTGTTTAGAGATGTGGCTAATATGCGGGAAGAACGAGTCGGTGGAGCACAGACAACCGTTACGTATCTCTTACTAACGCCTCCACCCACTTCGAGGGGCTGGAAGCGAGCGATACAAGGAACGCCAAGACGGTTCTAGAAAGACATCCAATTAGGCTAACTTTAGTCCCCAGTTCGCCCTCCTCCACTAGCCAACGTTCATAGGTGAAGCTCTAGCCTCCGGGACGCCTGTTATTTCCGGGTCAGCTTCGATACTGATTAGCACCGGACTTCCGTGGGTACAGTACTGTAAACCTAGCCTACCAACTCCACCGTCAAAAACTCACTAGATTCGCCCCCAACTCAGCGCTAGCCGACCCAAATAATGTTCACTGCTCTGTCCTGGCCTACTGCTTCATCATACAATCCATGGTCCTAAGGTAACTCCTCCAAGCGACCGCTACAGTCCGCGAACAAGTCCCTCTCTGTTTTAGCGCTTGGCCTCAGCTCTTATTAAGCCCCCTA